GAGTGACACTGGGTTTCTGTGACACAGGGATGTCGAAAGAAAATAATTAGTTTGGCAATTTTGTTCCAGTCAGGATGCTCCATGACTTCTGTAACTGTCTGTGAGGTGTCCTCATGCTTAGGTATTTGTGTCATTTGGGGGCAGATGATTCCCATGGAGTACAGTTGCAGGCACACATTCCAGACACCTTGGATGTTACTGGATCAGGCTCCAGAGCATGAAATGGCAACCAGGGTATCAAGGGAGGGAGCACAGTTGTTTTGGAAGGAAGAACACACAGGATGAAGCGTTTAATAGGGAGGTCCATAAATGGGAACATAGGGTAGAATACAGCACGTGGAAACAGAGACACTGGAGGTATATTTGTTGTGTAAGAGCATTAGAAGTTCGAAAATCAGAAAAGGTGAGAAGGAAGACTCACAGAGTGATGAGGAACAGGATAAGGACAGCTGGAGGGAAAGACCCTGGAAGAGCCTTCAGTGATTACAGAGAAAGATCTGCTTTCAGATTGAATTTCTCTGATTGATGTACAGTATTAAAAAGTATGTCATAATAGTTATGAGTCATATTTTTTTAGCAAACTGTGCTGAGCAAATCTGATAGTGGTTTCAGTGCAGAGAGAGAGTAGTGATGTGCTGAAGAAAGTAAAGAAAGGCTGTTCTTTTAGGCCTTCACTAGATGTGTTCTAATTTTTTGCTTTGTGAGTGTTTTGATTTTCAAGGAGATGTGGTTTGAGGGGGCTTGGAAGAAAACAAAGTTTTGGAAAAAATTGAAAGAAGAAAGATTAAAAGTTAAGAGACCAGGCAAACCCAAGTCAGCTGTTTATTTTCAGCTGATAGTATTACTAGTCTTAAGAAATTCTGCTGATTTATGATTTCTGAAATGATAACAAAACTGACACTGTTAGTTACAAAATAATTGTAAATATTATTTTCCTCTATAGGTATACTGATGTTACAGACTCTTGCCATTTTATCATCTTAGTCTTGCATAATGCAGCCAATTAATGTTTTCCAGAATTTCCCAATTAACTTAAGTGTTCAGAAGTTTCCATGACCTTTAGGTTCCTTTGTACTCAATGTTGTTTTTCAGAGAGTATGATAGACTTTGTGGTTTACTTCCAGTGTAGCCTTTTTTTTTTTATGGAAAAGATGTCACAATGCAAAAAGAGCATGGCTTTGAGTTGTGTTTTGGAGCATTTGATACAAAGCTGATTTGACATATCTTCTTTTTTTCTTGCTAAAAATGTCTTATCATAGATGAAAGTGTTTAAGTAGCTCATAAACATAAATGTTGGCAGCAAAATATCATAATTAAAAAAGTATCATTAGGCTGAATATATGGCAAAAATAAGTTGGAGAAGATCCCCTTAGAGAAGATTGTTGCAGGACATATGCACCTATATCATATTCACTACCGTAATTGATGTTCACTGTACTTAGGGTTCTTGCTTCAGTTTTGCCTGTCAGTCTCTATGACTTGCTGGAAAACCTTCTGTAAAGTTTAGATTGTCCTGTTCACTCAGATCTGTGTGAGCTCCCAAACACAGGCCTCTGTTCTTCACTGAAATGTTGGAGGTTTCTCAAAAATCTTCCTTAGAGACTTGGAGAAGGTGGCAGGTGAAGACCTTCCAAGGAAGGAAGTTGCCTCAGTGGGTGCAGCACCACGTTCATGTGGTGCTTCCCATCCAGACCTAAACTCTTCATCTGTCTGCCTGGAGTATAAACAGGGAATCCTTAGGGCTGTCTGTCCCAGCCCCTCTAGGCCTGTATTTAGAAGCCTGAGCTTATTTGTCAGAGCTTTTTGACTCTTTATTTGAGGACAGTGCTGAACAGTAGCACCTACTCATGTCAGAACACGTACAGGTATATATATGCAAATATATACACACACACATATACACATGCATATACCTATGTATATATATAGGCAGCCAGTTGCTCCAGTCTCTCTGTCCTGAAGAAAGGATTATTATCCCAGTGTTGCTTAATATTTAGTAATTATGAAGCCAGAAGATGTTGTTTATACATGCCAAGCCCAGTCTGCTCTTTTGGTCCATGTTTGTTTCCACACATCCATCAAGGCCTTGCAAAGCAAAATGTGTCCGCTGACAAGTTATTCCCACAATGTTGCAAATGTTCATATCTTCCTGCAACCTAATACAAAAAGGCCCTGCTGGCAATATTTTCCTTTTTAACTGAAATTTTATTGAGAAAATGCAGTAGACTGTGGTGAGTTTACACCAGTGCATGCAATTATTTTAAGTATGAATAGGGCAGTAAAGTACTAAGAAAATTCAGTTATCATTTTGAAGTGTTGTGATATGGAATCTTACTTAATAAATGAATATAACTCATAAGTGTGTATCTATGTGTTTATATATATGCATAATCAAAACTTGTATGTACATATATTCGTATGAGGCATCATTAGAATAATTAGGAAAAACAGATTTAAAAATAAATGCAGAAATAGAACAACTAAATATGATAAAACAATACTGTTGGTTTAAGAGGAGGACAAACCTCAGGTACACTTTAATTGTCCTTAAATGATTTTTAGATATGTACATGAATGAGACTCCTTTTCTCAAAACTGCTCAGCAGATTTTATTCTGTAAAAGCATTTGCTTTTTATCTTCTGTTCTGCAGAGGATGAAACCTGTTAAGGAATGAATTTACATGTATTTGGGAGACTTTTTTCTATATATAACATACATAGAGTCTTGCAATTGTCCCTCAGTCAAGGAGTCAGTATAGTAATAGCCAGGAAACCAAACTGCTGTATGAAATTAGTCCTTCCTGTTGGCTTTAGTATGTGAGGACTTTTTAAACTTAAATGTGTTACTTTTTCCAAGGCTGTTTTGAAGAGAGGGATTTGATTTTGTCTCTAGGGGAGAAGCATTGTCACAGTGTTGTCTCTTCCTGCACACCTGGAAAGCACGGCACAAGGAGGAACTGAGATCAAGCCCAGAACTGGTGCTCTCTGTGTCAAGGCATCCCTCCTCTGAATAAAGACATCTCTTGAAAATAGTTGTGCTTTACGGTGGTGCATGAGTGCTACTGCAACTGCTGTCTGTTAAATGTAATGTCTCACTCACATGTTGGCCTCTTGCTATTTGTGTGTGTGTGTGTGTGTGTGTCCGTCCCACCCCTAATTCTCACGTGGGTGTGTTATGGGTGTGGGGCTGAATTTATAAACATTTTATGCTGCTGAAAAGAATAAGAAATACAAGGGTTTGGCAGTGTGACTGGAAAACTACTTTTAAAATGTGTTTGTTTTCATACTTGGTACATCTGACCAGGCCAAGAGATCACCCTTTTTCTGACATTGAAACTCTGTTTCTTTGCTTTTCTCTACATAATTACTAATAATTTTTTTTTTAACCTCTGATTGTCTTTCTAATAGTAAATGGGTCTGTTCATTAGTCTAAAAATGTAGTTTTAATGCAGCCTGGGTTACAGGAGAGGTTCTTTGTCTTGTTCCATTTTTATTTTGACTTCTATGTAGCCTAAAAAATCTGAGTGCTCTTTCCCAACCTGATAGGGTCAGAAATTTGTTTTTTTTAAAGTAGCTAAAGGTCTGAATGTTATTTTGATGACTGCTTTGTGGTCTTTCCCTGTTGTGAAAGGAAGTTGTGTTTTAGTCAAATTAATAGTGTAATCTTGGTCAACAATGATTAGAATCCCCCTGAATGTTTTCTCTTATTTAGCATTAGTTGCATTTTGTGTATTATTTTCAGTTTTCCTGCTTCATAGGTTAAGTGACTGATAATTAATTGTAAATTATGATTTCTTTGAAGAAATATCAATGAGACAGAAAGCTTTATCTATTTTAGCATTTTGTCATAAGTGTGTGTGCATGGAGGAAAGGGATATTCTTGCCTGTATGGATGCATTCATGATGGATGTGTGTATAAATATGCCTAAGTCATGGCAGGCTTTCTCCTGCTTTAGCAGGATGTCAGTTTGAGTAAAGCATCCTAAAAATTATGTTTTACCTGTATTCATTGCTCACTGGCTTATGTTTTTTAAAGATACATCAGTCAATACTTCAGTGCTCAATGTACTGAATAGCAGAAGTGACATGAATTTTCTTATCCAAACTGGTACAAGCTATTCTGATGAATGCTAAAGCACTAAACTATTTGAGATAGTGCTTAATAATCTAATGAGATAGATTCTTCTTTGTTTGAAAAAGCCACTCTAACTTCACAAGGATAATGGTTATGCTAGTAATTTTTGTACTATAAGCCATGTTTTATAGGATTAGGGTTTATGTATGCACTTCTGCAGATAATTCTGGGATTCAGTTCTGTTAATGAATTTAGATATCAATAGGCTCTGAACTTACAGAAAGGTTTGGATCCTGAAAAAAATAGTATCCTCGTTTGAATGGAGGCAGATACTGGTTGAATATTTTTTGTCTGAAAATTGCTGAGCTATACTTATACCATAACTAAGATATAACCAAAACTAGAAATATGTTTCCTTCCAAAGCAGCTGCATTGATTTTTCTCTTTAGTAGAGGTTCACATGTTATGAATTGTGATTTGTTTCTTTTGTAGTATTAATTCACAGTGGAGCTGAAGCAGGGATTTTTTTTTTCTTAGTGAAACCTGCTTTTCTGACCACTTAATTTTGCCTTTGTCTAGGCAAGATCTTTCTGGGCATTGTGACCATTCTTTTTAACTTTCTCTTCCATTATGTGCAACGTAGTGTCATCTCAGCTAGTAAATGAGATAACAATTTATTCCCCGTCAGCAAAAAAAATAAAAAGAAATTACAATAGAAATGCTCATGTGTCTGGTTTTTTTTTCTAAAACACAAAACAAAGAAAAACAAAAAAACCCTTCCAAGAATGTAATTGAATATAAAGCGATCTTGCAAATAGCCAACCTATTATTAATGGCTCAGTTCGGAGTTTTTTAATATTATATAAGTTAGGAGTTGACAGGTTAAGTAATTCTTAACACAGGTTTGTTTATTTCTGTTTTGTAGACAACTCTGCTGAAGCAGATTTATGGTTGCTGAATAGTTGTACAGTAAAAAATCCTGCTGAGGACCACTTCAGAAACTCAATCAAGTAAGTTGTTTCCTTACAAAGATTTTTAACTATCAGTGGGTATTGCATGTCGTAAAGCCTTGTGTTCTCAATCTAGAAGTTATTTTGTGTTTTAGAGCAAGAAATGTGCTGAGTTTGTGTTAGAATGGTGAATTCTCTCAAATGGATTTGTAAGGTAGAGTGGATTTTTTTAAAATAGCATTGGCTTGCAGGTGATTATCACTATACTTATTAGGAGAACTGCTGACCCATTTAGATAGGGACTTCTATATTACTTTTCAAGACAATGTTGTCATAGTCTTCTGAAGAGTTGACTGTGCTTTTGGTTTTTTTTTTTTAATATGTGAATTGTTAGGTTGTTTCTACTTAAACGTGGCCTGAGACCTGCTTTTCAGTGGTGTGCAGCAGCGGCCATAAATTAAATGACAAGAAATACCTTAACATAAGAAAGAACTTCTTTATATTGAGGGTGTCAGAGCACTGGAACAGGCTGCTTAAGGGGTGGTGGAGTCTCCCTCTTTGGAGACATTCCAAACCCACCTGGATGTGTCCCTGTGTCACCTGCTCTGGGTTACCATGCCTTGGCAGGGGGATTGGACAAGATGATGTCCAGAAGCCCCTTCCAACCATACCAATTCTGTGATTCTTTAAAAAGGGTGTCTGGCATATACTTAAAACCAGCTATTGCACTATACATTTCCTTGAAATATTAGCTGATTAGCTTATAATAGAAGTCTTGTGAAGAATGTGTTTTATTATGCAGTACCATTCCATTGATGTCAAACAAAATGACATGGTAGCCGTTTTGCCTCCAGTTTCTGCAGAAGTGTAGTTATAATGAGAGTAACTAAAAAACCTGTACACATACAGCTGTCACTACCCACTGTAAAGAAATACTGTGGCATGTGTCTTGTAAATTTTATCTTTAGTAAACAAATTTGGCTATTTGTGCAGTCATTTGTTTAGTGTAGTGCACTGGGGACTGGCTGTTGAAATCCATTTTGGTTAGAAACACATAGTTCTTGGGAATGGAAAGAGGAGAGAGAAACTGGATATAATCTACCGGCTTGTAATGTTGGAGTTACTAACAGGCTCTCAGGCGTGTAACCTGGAACAGAAACCTCCTGCCTGCTGTAGGTGGCACAACAGAAATTTCCTCCACCCCTGAGAGTGCTTCACTTTCTAGCTGCTGGTGTTGCACTTCGTCACCAGAATTGCTTATGCCTTTCTTTTCTGTTGCCTAAAAAAAAAAAAAAAAAAAAACCAAACCAAACCAAAAGACCAAAAAAACAGCACACTATTCCCAGAATACTTCCAGCAGTTAGTGTTGGCCAACAGAACTGATGACAAGATAGTTTCCAGCTCAGTTGTGGCCATCCTTCTATTTTACTAATCCTGTGCCAGAAATGATGTGGTATGGTGTGTGTCCTAGCCAGGAGAATAGAGCTGGTTAAGAAAGAGGGCCTAACTGAAAGCAAATGACCAAAACTATTTCTTTGAAGAACATGTTTCTGTTGCTGCTCTGTTCATGACCTTGACGTTACTTGTAGCCTGGATTTATTCTTTTTTATCCTTTCATCTCCCTATACTTGTTCTTTTCCTGTAGCATGCATAATTCATCCTCTAAACTCAGATCCTGGCAGTTTCCAGCCATGGAGAATGACATCTTCTGTAGTAGTATCTTATTTTTCATAAGGTGCATTAAACACAGGGGAAACACATTGTCTTTCTAAAGAACACAGCTTCTCCCAAATAGTTCTTAATTTGTAACAGCAAAAACCTAATGCATGAAGCTTGGGTGATACAAAATGAGCTGCCATTATATCCTGTCAGAGCAGCTTGTTAGTAACTATGGAGATCTTTGTTTTTCTCAATTGAGTAACAAAATAAACACGGTGTGTGTGTGTGTGTGGTCAAAGCAAACATTCTTGGAGTAGAAAAAATAATATTCAGCCCTGTAAAATTCTTCTTAAAAAAAACCAAAAAACTATCTTGAAAGTGTTACATAGTATTATGCATAATATTGAGAAAAGTATTTATTTATTCTCTGCCCACTGCAACACTTCCTACATTGCTTGCATATATGACTTAAAAATGTACTGATTCAAACCAGTGGTAGCGTGTTCACGCTGGTGGTTAAAGAATGACTGTGAAAAGCTGATCCCCCACTAATAACATGGGCCAAAGAATGTGCCAGAACCCACAAGTTGTGTAGGTACAACCTTTTTTGTCTTGCTTTTCTTCTAAAAAAGGAACAAAACCGCTCCCAGACAATCTGAACCTTTGCAGATGTGTATACAGCTGATACAAGATGACTGACAGTATAATCTTTATGCTAGTTTTTTTTCTTACAGCTCTTAGGAACAGTCTCCAGTATCAACTCTTCAATATCAATAAAGTTGAACTTGCCCAACCAGAGTAATGCTATGGAGGGTAAAGAGTTGTTTAAAGACATTAGTTATGGATGGGAATTGAGTTTCCTGGGCAGATTTTATTCTCAGTTGGTTAATCTTAAAATAAGATTAAAGCAGAGGTAGGCAATAGCAGTAAATAATTACAACTATTAATTAAGTGTGTGGAGTTAAAAGAAAATTACTAAGGCTTGTGTTTTGTTTAGTGATGGATCTACCTCTTGTACTTTAGTAGAGTATTTGCTGGGCATTCCAAGAAATTAGCAGCTTTTGGAAAGTTACATTTTTTTAAAGTTGAATTTATTTTGCCTTAAAATAAAATAATACTTGAAAAATAATCTATTTATTTAAAAATCACTCATATCTTTTTTTTTTTTTTTCTGGTAATGTTTCAGTATGATATCTTTGCTTTGGACCTGATCATCTGTCAGCGTGAGCAACTTGTATATACATATACAACTGTATATATGTATATATAAATGTGTTTTATAAATGGTATAAATAACAAAAAAATGAGTAAAATGTCATTAAATTTCTTCCAGAGTGATGTCACTATTTATTTATTTTGGGGAATGTTGGTTAGTTTTTTGGTGGTTCATTTATGTGCCTCTGCTTATTGTGTTTCTGAGGGTTTTTTTTGTTTTGTTTTGGTTGGTTTTGTTTTTGTTTTCCTCATTTGCAGAAGGTTATCAGATGACATTTTTTGCTATCATTTATTTTAGTCAAAAGTATTCTTAAAACTTAGCAGTTAGTAATAGCAATAATAAACTTTCAAGAAGTAAGTTACTAACCTTAACTTGCGTAAACCACAGTAAATGTGGTAAGACTGATGAAGAGAATTAAGCCCAAGAGCGTGTGCTAGAGGAGCTTGCTTCCTTTAAAATGAAGTTATTTTGCTCTTCAGTTTCATGCTCCATTAATTTCTGTGTGCTCTGATACTTGTTTTCTTGACTGTTACATCTCAGATATGTAACCCAGTTTTCCTGATGACCTCTGAAGATTCAGAAACTCTTGAGTGTTTCTAGCTAGCTGTCTTTTCCCTTGCTTGATCCTTTCCTGAGTGCTGGTATAAGTTACTCATGTGTTTGGGGACTTTGGCTTTTCCTTGAGGAGTTCTCCTGCTGGTTGAAGTGTTATGGAGAGGAATTTGGTGGCTTACTTATTAAAACAGCCAGAATTATGTTGTCTGGGAGGAAAGATGTGGTTATGCTGTTGAGGTATTCATGGCTGGTCTCATGGTATAGAATAAGCCTGACCACTATAAATAATCATCTTTGTTACCATATATAATTAACATGTAGCATTAACACACATTCTCTGATGTATTTGTTGCTGCATTCACTTTAAGGCATGCTCCAGTGTACGTTCAACCCTTTTCTTTCTGATAGCTATGAGTTGTGACAGAGATGCGAGGGCTTTTAGCACTGAAGTAGCACCATGTGGCTTCCAGTTCTGTCCTTGCTTCAGTTTTCACCAATTCATAAATAAACACTGTGTGTGGGATCTCACTTTCATGCTAGAAGGAGCATCAAAACCTGTAGAATTTGTGGAAATGTTTGTTTAAGAGGACTGTGATTGTAGATGTTGCAATTGTTTAAAGCTCTCAGTGGATTAAATTGAAGAGTATGCCTTTGGATGCTACAGGATTTCTGTTAACCAAATGCTATTGTGTTGATGTTAAGTACAGAAAGAGGTTAAATACAAAGGCTTGTTCAGAGATAAGAATAATTTTCTGCTGCTTGAAATCTTTGCAAATGAAAATAAGCCTGGAAGAAGGTTTTTTGATGGTTTTTTTTCCTTTTTTTCCTAACATTTATGAATGTAATTTATATGATGCATTTTCAAATTGAGCAAAATGAAAAATTACACACTATGCAGGGTTATCACTTTCTTTAACATAGCATTAATCCTTTTGCTGTTCCTAATACATTTTCAATGTAGAAGTAGACTGTGATTTAGAGTTGTTTTATACTGTTCATGCAATACAATCTAAGCTGTGATGTACTTCCAGGAGAGGAAACATAAGTATTTCAAAGCTCTTTATTTTATACATCCTGTTAGCATAAGAAGATCACTTCCCCCAGGTGTAAGTTTCTGAGCTGAATGTTGCATTGTACAGAAACAGTGTGTTGCCATGACTTTGGGTGTTTGTGTTGGAGTACTTAAGGTAACAGGGCAGTACTGAGAATTGTAGGTAGGGGTACTGCTGTTTCCCACTTGTATTGAAGAAATCTGAGGAAGGCCTGGATTCTCTGAAATAAAAATGCTTGCAAAACAAACTTCATTGGGTAGGAGGAAGTCGGACACTTGATTTCTTTTTCCCCTAAGAATGTTGCAAATAATACTCCTTGCTCAGACTCTCTAAACTAGTCTAGATCATGTTGGTGAAAGCCTTGCCATTTGCCAGGATGAAAGGCTCACACATCTACAGATTGACAAAGTGCTTGTATTCAAGATTTATGCCCTGTTCACAGTGAGAGAAACTCCTTCCCCAGCTAATAGAAGTTACTTGGTTTTGAGTGGAGGCTCTAAATCAATTATCTAGAATTTAAAATCACAATTATATTCTAAGAACACCCTGAGGAGCCTTACATCAGTTAAGTTCATTGC